ATGTCATGAATTTGTTTTTGCGTATCTGTTGACCGACTTAATTAGTTGATTATTAGCGAATTGCTGTGTTATGTCTGTCATCGTTTAGGCCTATTTGAAGTTTTGGACGGAACTTGGCTCAGTGATTTGGAACTAATTACGAGATATCCGTCGCGATTCTGACAGTTGGTATCCATAGTTATTAATGTAGTGAACGATTAATCAAAAGATATGACGTATTCAGTGCTTAGTGTGATTGGCTTTATGATTGAAGGTTACGCCCTAGAGTCTGTTTACTGCTTTGTAATTGGTTAGAGTTGTGAAAATGAATGAAGAGAGTTTGAGTTGGTCTTGGGGAGCACAGCACGATAGACGCAGTAGAGAGAGTGCAGTCCTGGAGAGTCGAGTCGAGTCCTGGAGAGCCTTGGGGCGAGTGTTGACGCAGTCTAAGAGAGTCTTGGGTCAGCCTCGCGTTAGTCTTGGGGACTTTTCCCCAGGGCGCTGTGTCTTATAGAGTGCTCGATTGACCGACTAAGACGAGAGCTGAAACGTATTTCGTTGTGTGTGTCTTATTTGACTGTAAAGTATAAGTGACTTCCCCGATCCCGTACCTCAAGGGGACGAGATAGAGAGACGAGACGAGATTCCCCTCCTGACAAGTGTGGAGAACCCCCGGAGAGAAGATTTTCCCCCTGATAGGAAGAACAATTTTTAATCTCATTTCAGTAAATATATATATATATTGTGCAGTTCAGTGACGACGGAGAGATTGACTTTTGTACGTAGAACTTGCTTTTGCACCAAACAAATATTTTTCTGTTTCAAAAAAACTTATGGCAATGCTGGCTCAAAATAATAAATACCCCAGCTTGTATCAGGGAGAAATTCAACATAACAGTATATTTACATATAACTATCACAGTAATCATAGAAACATCTTGTGGCTCCATTTCACATTTCACGAATGATGACATGTGACAACATATAATCTAATATATTAGTCAAATCTCTTGTCAGATACCATTATTATGACACTGGTTGTCTTAAGTTTTTTATATGTGATCATGTCAACAATATCGATTTATTGTTAACTGTAACTCATTTACTTAATACAGGTTCAAAACATCAAATTCAGCAAACAAATTGTTCGAAATGTCCTGGTGTGAATCGGAGTTGCCCGATGATGACGTCGAGTCAGTTATGTCAGTAACATCTTCAGGTATCTATATGTTCTATAAATACTTGGCTACAAATCAGATAAACACCTTAACTTCCTTGTTTGCATAGTATACGTTTGCATTCGATTATGTTTTAGTTTTGTCGGGAATCGGAAGAGATGCAACACGAAGAGTATTTGTTCTCTCTGCCAATGAGACGAATTCAAGCCTGATACAAGATCGTATAATTTCCCCATTGAAAAAAGCTGGAATTCCCTGTTTATATGACCGCAATAGTTTTCCTCTCGGGTTTACTTTGGAAAAAATTCACACAAGCTGCATCACACGACACCCAGTTACTATTCTTCCAATAACGAAAAGGTTTAATGAAGAGTTCAGCGACAATTACATTGAAAAGGTGTTTCCTATCGACTATCATATCCGTCATCTGGTAGTATGCATACTCCTTGAATCAGGATGCAAAATACCGACCAGATTTGAGTCATTGACGCAGTTGGACTTCAGTGGAGCACAGAGTGACAAAGATGCCAATAAACAGGAACATAGAATGGTTAAAGCGGTGAAGAGAAAACTTGAGCGAACGAAAAGAAAAGACAAAAAAGGTGAGTGGCTGTGAAGGTTCAATTCAGCCTGTAGGGCTACTCCCATAGTTAATTTTTGAAAATCCAGGCCAATTTTATTGTCCAATAACGCCCTCAACGTCAATTGTTTTGGGTCAAGTTTTCAACTGGCCGTGGAGCACTCCCACCCACGACTAAAGTACCCCGGGTTATATAACACTTTCATTTTTTGAATTAAAATATTTTTTGTTGAATTAAAACATATCTTATCTCATTATATTTAATTTGCTTCTTTGTATCAATAGATCCAAATGAAGATCTGTGTAGCCGTTCAGAAACGTTATCTCTAATGTCAGACAATACATTAGTGGAGAATCAGGTTGACACTGGTTTGCGTATCGAACAGGAAGGCAGTGAAAGTTCAGTCGAATTTGTTGCAATAAATGATTTAAACAATCCACGGCAACAATCGACAGGGGTACATGTCAGATATGACAAGATTCAAGAGTCAGGTTAGTTACTACATCGTTTTTATATATATTTAATATCTAACGTTATATTTTAGGATGCGAAGAAAGAGTGGTTAAAGTGATATTGACAAATTTGTCCAACCGGAGGGAGCATTTTTTTTGTAAAAGGCTGCACTGAAACAAATATTTTGTCCCAGTCTCTAATGACAACATTTACAATGTTCTTCATTCTCCATCAGTTATTTCATCACACTTAGGCATTGTAGGTATTTTATTCCACTTTTAGTCACATTTATGGTGTTTTTAAGTATAAACCAGCTTCAAGCGAATAACCGACATTTCAGAAGCAGTCGTATCAACAGATGACCCTCGCGCGCAAACAAAACAAAAACAACACGCTACACTACCGCCACTGACCTAATTAAAAAGTAATACAACACACGTCATTTCCGGGTGAATAAACAATGTATTATAACCCATATTAATGTGTAATACATAAGGAGTCGTAAAATTAGTTTGAGGAAATAAAGAGACGTACCAAACGTCGTTACACGACGTCAACACATCCTGGAGTGCCGCCAGAAATTCAAATTAGTCAGTGCTAGCCAATTACACAGTGTGGCAGGGCTACGAAATGACCGGCCGATACATTTGTGTTTATCGATGATTATCTCCGGGTTAAAAGTATTTATATAGAAAATAACTCGTTGTTTGACCTGTTCAACAAATTACAGGTGATCAACCGAGACACTCGGACAAACCTTATATGGGAATCAGCCATTTTACGATCTATCATAAAGTCTTGGCAATCTCAGAAGCCTGCAATGACGTCTTGGATAGATTAGAATTTAATAATCAACCGCCAAATGCTTGAATATGATTGGCTGATAGAGCTAATTAGGCACATTTGTTATGTATTGCACATGACATGCAGTGTGTGGTTTACTCAATGACATATCTTATTGAACGCTTCATGTATCAATTATCTTTATAGATCACAAACTGGAACAGCGTGACTTTGGTATAAAGTACGAGGAAGGAATCTCTGCATTTCATGCATTCTACACAGATATGCATGGGTGGAAGAATGACATAGAAGAATATATCATGCAGAAAGTTATACCTAATGCTCCGGTTGAGAAGTTGGCAGAGTTGCTGTGTTTTCAGAACACACGACTGGAGATTGCCGTCCTGGAAGCTATAAGAAATAGAATAATCACACATTTGGTCCCAAATATATTCAGTAAGAAGTTGATACACTCCACCAATTCTTCTCTTATTAGTGTTGAATCAACATTACGTCTATCATTCCGTGAGATAGAGGACTATAATGTTACATGTGAAAAAATACTGACATACCAACTCATACTTTCTGCACTTGTAAACGCACGCTTGTTGGGTGTTCTTTCAAAAGAACTTCTCCCTGGCGATTCACTCACTCCAATAATAACACTACTCAATTTGAAACAACACGCTATTTCTCCGCATGCTGCAGTATGGACAACACAGGCGAGAATTACCCTAGAATGCAATGTATACTACATTACTAATGCGTTACAGAGAATAAAAGAGGACGTAGGAAGCTGGAAGAAAGTCAAGACATCTATTACAAAATCAACTTTAACCTCGATGAGGAAGGTGACATCTACATCTACATATTTGGACAAACTCTCATACAACTTGGAACGAATGAATGAATCGAGTGGGGGAAAGAGAACTGCTGAGAAAATATTACAAACCGATAAATTTGCAGTATTGGCCGCAACTGATTTTTTAGCTTGTAAGGTAAGAAAAAGTGATGCATTTGTCTCATTGCGAATAATAAACATCTAAAAATAAACGAACTTGAAAACCATCATAGTATATATTTGATATTACTGTTAATACAATATAGTATTTATGTCTATCATTGAATTTTAGATCATGAACCAAGATAAGTTGGACGACAATCTTAATTATCTAAGACTCCTTGGATACCTAATGTACGGGATGAACCTGCACCGCACGTCAAGAGAAAGTACCCTTGTATTTCAATTGTCTATTCTAGTAAAGTTATTGGAGAGTTCAAAAGACGAAGGTAAGATATTTATTTATTAGTCCCCGTTCGGACGAAGTCCGAAAACGGGGACTTATAATTCGGTCTCCGTCCGTCTGTGTGTCCGTGTGTCCGTGCGTCTGTCCGGAGTCATATCTCAGAATCCCTTGGACCGATTCTGTTCATTCTTTGCATGTGCCTAGTACCTTATGTGGGATATATGCACATGCAGTGGTTTAGCGATCCGATTCAAAATGGCCGACTGGCAGCCATCTTATTTTTTGAAAATGTCGTATTTTGGACATGCTTTGTCAGTTTTCATTCAAATTTAGTACATAGATCATACATGTTAGGATACATGTCCCCGACCGTCCGTGAGTTCCTGAGTTTGTCTGTCCGATCGTCTGTGTGTCCGTCTGTCCGTGTGTCAGTCTATCCAACGTCATATTTCAGAATCCTGAGGACCGATTCCGTTCATTCTTTGCATGTGCCTAGTACCTTATGTGGGACATATGCACATGCAGTGGTTTAGCGATTCAATTCAAAATGGCCGAATGGCAGCCATCTTGTTTTTTGAAAATGTGTATTTTGGACATGCTTTGTCAGTTGTCATTCAAACTTGGTACATAGATTATACATGTTAGGATACATGTCCATGACGATTTATTTTGCAATTGGATCAAAGATGGTCGACTGGCAGGCATCTTGTTTTTGTTTTTTTATGCAGTATCTTGGACGTGCTCTGTCAGTTTTCATTCAAATTTGGCACATACATGTACTTTATACATGTTAGGATGCATGTCCATGACAATTCGTTTCAAAATCTGGTCAAGGATGGCCGATTGACAGCCATCTGACTTTTTGGCCTTACTACTATATTTCCACAATTTATGTACCATTTTCATTCGTATTTGGCACACACATCATACATATCAGTGTGTTTCATAATCAGATCAAAGATGGCTGAATAACAACTGTTTTTATTTTGGCCATATTACTATGACACGAAACACGTGTTTTGATGTAAATAAACAATCTGTTGTATACGCCACTTGGAACTTAAGTTTCTAGGACATGCTCGCGACAACCCCTTCGCTTTAATATGACGAGCACAAAGAGAACTTAACGGGGACTGTGTCATTTTCAATGACTTGTTTATTTATTTATTTATTTATTTATTTATTTATTTATTTATTTATTTATTTATTTATTTATTTATTTATTTATTATTTAATTAATTAATTAATTAATTAATTAATTAATTAATTAATTAATTAATTAATTAATTAATTTATTATTTATTTATTTATTTATTTATTTATTTATTTATTTATTTATTTATTTATTTATTTTATTTGTTCGTTCGTTTGTTTGTTTGTTTGTTTGTTCGTTTATTTATTCATTTAATTTATTTATTTATTTATTTATTTATTTATTTATTTATTTATTTATTTATTTATTTATTTATTTATTTATTTATTTTGCAGCATTCTGTGTCAACATTATTGAAGGTGCTAAAGACACTCAGGACATGAAGTGCATTGGTATCCACCAAGTATTAGAACATCTTAAATCTACACCAAACGATCAAGTGCGACAATTCCATAGCAGCATGTTTGGTCAGTTAATCTACCATCCTTTACGATGTGTGAATAAATTAGCCCAAAAAAGGACGGTCCTGAAACGAAGCATTGGGGATGAAGCGATAAAACCCAAGGACAATCCATTCTCTGTGTCTTTCCAACAGCTTCAAGAAATAAACCAGAGGCTTATTCTCCGAGAATGTGGAGATATAAGCTTGACGAGTAAGGATTCGGTCGCGCCATCAGAGCAAGATATAAGTGCAAACACACGATGGGCGTGGAACGGCCACCTTTTTGGTAGTATGGTAACTGTGAGTGTCCCAAGTACCTTGGAAGAGATATTAGGAAATGATGAAGATATGAAGTACCAAAGCTATGAAGAAATGCCCTCCGTAATGTTTCTATCAGAAATGTCATTGCTGCATAAGCTACAGAAACATGACAACATAATCGACCTGTACGGATTTTGTCGTCATCCACTCCCTATTTTCACAATAACTGAACATCTTGAAAACAATCTTCTTGAGTATCTTACAGAACGTACGACGCGAGATAAGTTCATGTCACTTTATGAATTGGTACATGATATCTGCATTCCTGTGATATCAGCCGTACAGTACTGTCACACAAATGAGATCGTCCTCAGAGATGTGATTGCCAAGAATTTCAGAATTGAGATAGGTCAAAACAAGTCGATAAGAGTAAAATACTGTGATCTCAAGTTGGCCAAAGAGCTACAAAAAAATGATGGGAAATATGGTTCGGTTAATCCCTATTTTACCATTTTGGGAGACAAGTCTGAAATGGTGGATGACACAAATTGCTATTTAGGTATTTGATTTATGATAATCTAAATAGTATTAATGTATAGAGTTGTGGTAATCTGTTCTAATCAGAAAACTCTTTACGGACATATAGTCTTCAATGGCACTTATTAGGTTGATGACATAGATACTAATACTAATAATGTATGTTTGTCGTCACAAACTGCATAGGAACATTTCAGTTTTGTACGAATTCAGTATTAATATTATCTATATTTTTCATATAGTATTATACATACATAAACTGTATACATAAATATCCTGTTTCATAACTCATAGGTACTGAGAATGACAACATTGCCAAACGATGGAGTGCTCCAGAGTCGTTTGTTGAGCCCTACGTGTTTTCCAAAAAATCTGATGCATGGATGCTGTCATGTACATTATACGAGATTTTAACTCACGGATGTCAGCCTTACACCGAGTTATATGGTACGACGTCTGATGACATAATGCTGCAGGTATGGCTTACTTTATTGATTACATATTATACAGGTGGAATCGTGGAATTAAGGCAAAACATAGGTGGGTGATGAACTATCGTTGAGAGTAACAGTTATACCTTAATAAAATTTGAAGATTTGTCTTCCTGAGTGTCAGTACAGTAAGCAATTGTTTTATCACCTCGAATTCATGGAGTTTACTTTTCTAGTTTGAGTGGTGATTTTGTAATTATGTACACCACTCTGTGATGCATAACAGACTCTACAATGATAGACAAGCTGATAATAAATATTTTCGGCTCCATTAGTGCCAAGAATATTATGTGTTGTGTATGGTTGCTTCATCTATTTTCACGCACCTGTCTACAATTCACTTTGCGCGATCTGCCATTTATATTGCATTTGATTTTCCATGTGACCAACGTGCGAACCTATGGTTTTGCGAACGCGATCCGATCAGTTATTTGCGCCATAAATGTGAAATTGTTACCAAAAATGTTTTTCCTGTATTTGTATTCAAATTTGTTCATTGCATTGGTTGTCTTATTCCGCTGTCCAACTAAAACTCTTTTCTAATTCACATTTAGGTTATGCGAGGTCTTCGTCTCAAACAACCTGCCTGCATACCAACAACAATATTTGACATTCTTCTTCATGGTCAAGTTGTGATACCAGCTAAACGACTTTCCGTTGATACACTATATGATAAAGTTGTTGCTCATTCAACAAATCTACCCCAACCCGGTAGGTAATGTAGATGTCTCAATACCACTAATCTATTCCCATAGACGACAATCTTGAAGTTTGATTTAATAGTATGTTTAAAATGATTCACCACGCATGATATGTCTATGAATATAAGCTTAAATAAATTTCAATCTGTAGATGAGTCATCATAACTATTGTATTGCAAATCAGTACCAGTTTTTTTTACTATTATTATTCTGTTACTTACTTTGTCAGATCCAAGAGACATAAAGAAAATACACTTCCCACCGCAAAGGGATCGTAGCCAAGGAATGGAACCAGAGAGGGTAAACATCCATGATCTTCAGTCATGCCCTTCGATGTGTCTTTTAATATGTGTTCATATTCAGTACCAAGGGTAGCTTCTGTTGTGAAACCAGTGCAAATGAATTTAAATATATCAACTGCTTACAAAATAAATGTTATATTTCAGGGCATTCCTAAACAGCCATACAACTACTATTATTCATCGGATTCTTATTGTATGGGCGTAAGTAACATAAGTCATCCACACAAACTATGCATTTCAATAAGATTAACATACTTTTTAACACACATAAAATGATGCCACCGTTTTACAATTTAAATTTCAGAATCATTTTCCATGCAGATTAGAAGACATCACAGCAACAGATGTACAGATGAAAAGGGCCGAAACTGCTGGGGCGTTTGGTTATGTATGTCAATAATTTATTAATGATCTAATTAAAGTATAATATCACAGGGGTGGTGACGTGGCCATTAATCATGTATTCAATATTCATTTATTGTAGGTTACACTGGAGGAGAAACTTGACACAAGGTTATTTCCACATGGCAGATCGAGATTAGAAATAAATAAACTTAGAAGTCTATCACATCAGAATATAGGGCGCGTTTTATCATGCGTTCTACAGGAAGATGTCACTATACAAGTATAAACATATTTTCAAAATGTTATTGCTTATATACCATTAAGCTTGAATGCGTGACTTGTGTGTTTAATCAACTTCATTATTTGTTCTTTCTGCAGGTATCAGAGTATTATGATACAAAGACAACTCTACTTAACGTAGCTTTACACAAACAATGCACTGATAAATTAATTGACTACCTGATGCAGGTGGCATCCGGAATGGCTTACCTTCACGAAAATTATTTGATACATTGTGACCTAAGGGCTGCACATATATACATTTCTCAAAATGATCAGGTAATTATCAACTTTGTTTTATTCACCGGTGGTCAATTTATGTTAGATACAGCAAAATATGTTGGAGTGTCTGAATGTATGTTGGTCAGACCATAATTCATCACGTTTCTTTATATTGTTGTTAGCCATTCAATTGAAGGTTTCGTGCCTATATCCCTAGTTATTATTTTTGAAATTTTGTTTTACCTATATTTTATTCAGTATGATATGATACACTCAGTTACGTGTTGTTTACGTTCGATTAGGTGTACGCTGACAGAGTACACTGACCTCAATTGTCGCTTGGCCTTGTCCCGTACATGTTTTAATTCGGTATTGACTGACTAATGAGTTTTATTGCATGACACTCTTTTACATACACTTACAATTTGTATACCAGGCAAAAGTTGGCAGACTCGGTCGTGCATGTCTTCTGGAAGTTGGGTTATATGATCTATGTGTGCAAGACAGTGTGAAAATAAGGCAAATGCTGAAGGATCAAATACGTTGGTAGGTGGAATCACGTTAACGTTTATTTGTGAAAATGTCCAGAAACGAACGTGACATACTAGAATTAGACTGTACACGTACACACAGTAGTATGGTAAAATTAAAATATTTTGATTATTGGTAATGTTCAAGGCCAGTGAATAATTAGTTCATGTGAGTATAGCATTCATAATGTGTAGGCAGGTAATTTGGCTTAGCATGCAGTCATCTTCAAATCTATTTTCACTGTGAAACTTGTTAGCTGTATACAGTTATCATCATCCCCTTGAATGGTTAGAGATTGCTACAGTATTGTCGCACATCAGCAGAACTGTTCAGCCCTAAATATACGAACAACCACTAACATAGACTGGATGGAAGAATCATGAGTTTATATATCTTCCTTTGACCACAAACCTTCTATACTCTCTGATCATCGGTATATTGATGTATGTCATTTAGATCACTTGTTTTGTTTGATTCACTCTCTTGTGAACTGTGGTGCTAACATCTTGAAACATTTTTTCTTAATGTAATGGAGGGAACAGATTAATTACTGGTCTCAAGTTACTAGGTTCCGGCGAGTGGAGTATAGTATAACAAGTTTTGTGCCCATGAAATTTAGAGTATACATGTTTTTTTTCTTCTATCAAGGCCAATTATGTGATTGTACTGTCATGATCCATCGGCATTGGATAGTATTATATTTGAATTGTCAGTGGAGGAGGAGTACAATGAGATATTGTTGACACTCCCAAGAGCACAGCTAACATTATTAGGAAAATCTAGCATAATCAGATTTTCTACTCCTAGTTGTGGTGAGATGAATTTTCAACACACAATGACAAAAACTCAGCTCCAGTCTCGTCTCTGCGACTGTACTGTCCCACTAAAAAAGGAATCTTCTATGAGCACACATTCCATGGCAATTGACGACACTGGAGTGTTGAACCATTTGATAGACCACTAAATGAAGTGTTCAACGGAGTGTCCAATGCTAAGCTTGATGCACTATTATTTTCTGAAGATGTGGATGCTGCGTTTGTGACCTCCTAGCACAGGAAGTTTTAGAATTCTCAAATAAAAAACAGCTAGTGCAGGGTTTAAAAATGTCACAATCATGTTGATCTGACGTGATATTACTAGTTCGATAATTGTTGTCAAAAGCCACATATTTCACAGTACCAAAATCATCAGAATTATATTAAAGACCAGAGCTAACTAATTTTAGTATATTCCAGTGTAGCATCTCGAAAGCAGTGTCACTTGGTGCTTTTCTGGATGTCCTGATTCACCTTAAGAACCTCCAATACCCAAACGTCACGACCAGGTGTGTTGGCCCTCAGGTATCAAAATTATTGATTGGCAAGTTTGTGAAGGAAGCTTGTTTACCCTGTGTGGGGAACCAATAATATACCTGTATGCCTCATACCCCTCGATTCCATCACTTATGCGGGGGATATATGTCATATGTCATAAATATATGTCATGGTTAAACCAGGAGGTGTATGCCATCCCATCATTTCTTCTGATCAACAAATGATCATTATATATTATTTATTCAATGTAGGTCTCCTATTGAAGTTGTTTGTGGAAATATCTTCTCCCAAGCAAGTGATATATTTATGTTTGCACAGTTGTGTTGGGAGGTGTTCAATGCCTGTGATGCAAACAAAAGTTTTGGACCTAACATGTTAGTGCCATTCCCTCATTCAGCTGACAGCGAGGTAAGTACAAATACTACAAACGATATTCCTTCATCCTTGCAGATGCCTTTATTTTGCAAGAACTCATATATTGTAAATTGATGTTCATGTCTCAATTACATTCGTATGAAATAACGTGCATAAAAATGTGGGCGAGTCAATGATGCAAAAATGTTATATATCTGCCAGATTCAAAGTTTGCTTACCCAACGAAAACATCAACTCCAACCTCCAAGTTGTCCAGAGTGGATATATAAATTGATGAAAATGTGTTGGTTAGATGAAAGATCAAGAAGACCAAGCTTCGAGCTAATTGGGCAGTGCTTGCAAAATAGGTAATTCGATCAGATATTCATACAGTATGGTGTCAAGTTACTATTATAATAGAGCTTCAGTGTTATTATACATATGTATATTCATTGTATCTGCAAGGAAAGGATTCTTTCAATTATATGGCTTTTTGCAGGCACTGCTATTGATTGTTCCCCGATTTGATTTGTCTGTTGTAATGTTATTGTTATGTGTACTGTTATATTACATGTTGTTGGTCACAGGGGTATACAGAGTATTGTGGCATATGTATGTGTTAATTTATGTATATTTAGTCCAAGGTCTTTGTAATTGGCGGAATATGTTCACAGCTTACTGCTCTTTCTTCTTCCGCTGTTTTTCAGCATCATTTGTCATTGTCATTTGTAAACGCAGCTGAATTATATTTTGCACAACTTGCTGTGCTCCTGATGTGGACTGAAGAACCTAATTTTAAATGTTGACTAGCCAACTAGTTCGGCAGCCATAAATTGGATTAAAATTAAAGGCGATCAGTTTGAATCTTTTCTGAGGGTCTTAGCATTCTGAATTTGTCAAAGCATTATTGATATATAGGCTATCTATTTTAAAATCGAGTGACTTTTGCCAACATATAGAATATTATGACTTACGGCGAGAAACTATTGAAAGTGTAACAACAGAGTACAAACATGCTTATTTAGTTTGGAAATAACGTCCAGGCATCACAACCTAACATTAAAGGGCCATAGTCATTGCGCAGCGCCTTATTCGATGTGGAACTTATTCGATAAGTTCACAATGTATGTCAAATAATGTTTCTTTCCTTGAAATATAATAAAACGCCACCACAAAATATGTCTGTGTTATCATCCCATATTATTCTGTAATGTAATTATAGGTGCCTGGACCCAATAGATACTCATGAAGACAATGATTCTGAGGCTACAGTTTATGGGGCACTACAAAGGGAGGATGAATATATATTTGGGTACTTTACAGAAGGCACAACTAAACACCAGGAAGATAATGACTATACCTACTACACAGATACTCCATTTGTCAGATCAAACACCTATGCTGTACAAGATAGGGGGGAATATACAGAAGAGAATGTATATGAATCATGCGACGTGTACGATCATGCCCAAACAGAACCAAAGAAAAACATAATTTCAGCGCCACTTCCTTTACCACCACTGCCCACATCACAGGCTATTACTGAGAATATATACGATCTACCGACACCCGGGGATGAGTACATTTATGAAGAACCATACAACATACCACGAATGCCACCGATTCTGAGTGATTTTCATTCTACAAATCAGAAAGCACCACCTCCTATTGTTCCACCACTACCAGTGCTTAAATCACAGATTAGTAAACCTCAGCCACCACAGTCAGGTGAAGAACGTGGGGATAAATGCATGCCTGATGAATTACCTGCAGATGTGTACTATTCACTGGACGACATTGAGTACATTACCTATGACCCATGCGATATACCACCAATTCCACGTGGTTCTCCTGTACAGCATCCTACAACACAGGAAGGAATTGCGACCCAGTTTAAAACAAAACCCTTAGTTCAGCCAAAGGACGAGACCTGATGACCCGTTTCCACAACATAAATAGTTTTGATTGAAATGTATGTAGTTTGTGAAATTTAATTCAGTATAATTCAATGTATATTTTGTTTCCTTCATCCTGACGCCTTTATTCCTATAGCTGATTAAAAAATTCTAATTTTGTTGGAGTGCTAGTCGAATGCGTTTTTGACTAAGAAGAAGCGTGTATGTGATTGTTTGTTGTGTCTTATCATGCATTAGAACTATATGTTATTTGTAAACAGTGAATGTTGTGAAATAGTAATGTTTGACATTGCATCATCCCTTGATTTGTATAGTTATATACCAATGGATTCCTAACATATCACATGCACAAGGTTTCCTTCAGATTTGCAACTTTTAGTATGCAATTATTTTCTTAACAACATGATTAATATGTTCTGCCATAGCATGTTTTAGAACTGGTATTTTGTTGTAATATTAGAAGAAATCGTTTATGTGTAGTGATTGCATTTTTTTCAACTTTGATAAATTATTGTAAATCCACTAAATGTTAGTGCTACATAAAATTGAGAGATGTGAATATTCTTGGTTTTAAAATGTAATGCTTTTACTCGGAATAATTGAAGATGTTAACTTGTAATGAACTACTAGACTTGAAACACTTCTCTGTAAACATTCAAAATATATTCACAGCCGAGACACATTTACATAGACTGAGTGTACAAATTTCAGCCAGAATTACTTTTAGTTTTGTTGGAATCGTGAGTTTAGTCATTGATCTGGCAATTAGCTTGTCATGTGACGCTTACATAAATAAATGACTACCTATTATGTTCCTTTATATCCATGTTTTCGAATAATATTTGAAGGTTTTGAATAAGATATCAGACAAAAAATGTTTCTAAAGTGTTAAAACATCCTTAATCATAATATGATTTACATTTTATTTAGCAAGGGGTAATAACTTCAATATAGTTATTATTTGATTCTGAATTAATTTAGTTTATCTTCCACTATCTGGTTAGCTTCAGCTTATCCTCCATCTTCAATACATTGCTGTTTTTGAGTTTTGTTTTAGTTTGAAACATTGAGTAGTACACGTGTTGGTGGAACAGACACAATCTTTCTAACTTCTTATACTACTTTCTAAAATATGGTAAGATTCGATAGAACGAAAATGTGGTTCCGTTCTCTAGTCCCAAAATATGAGTCTATTCTATACCACAAAAATAAGGATTAAGTTGATCATGAATATTATCTACATATTAGATATTGTTTACATCGTATTATGGTCTTAAACATCAACTTCAATAATTATAAAGAAATTTCACATCAATCAACACATTTTTTTTTAAATATGTTTTAGTTTAAACTAGTGTTTTTGGTATCAATGTTTTCTTTAATCAGATAAACAGCAAGACTGTAATGTGTTCTTAATAACTTCTTTAGGATTGCTTGTTTCAATATTCACTTAATTTTCACGTTTTTTGGTCTAAATAATTATATATACATGCTTTTTTTTCATCAGTGAATTTCACATTATCAATAAGTTTTAAATCACACTTTTCAGCACAATACGATGCTTCTTGTTTAATAATAATACAATAACTTAGAGTTATTATATTATTGTGCATATTCAGATTGACAGTAATGTTCTATAATGTAGTCATGTGATTATTTGAACATTCCATATTTCATGCATAAACGTCGTTGACACAAATTTAAGATGAAAGCCATATTATTATACTATTTATTTCTCTACAAAGCTTTTATGATGTTTTTTTCTGAAATTGGAAGCCTCCGGTGTCACGTGTATGTATCATGCATGATTTCGTATTTATATAGATCCAAAATAGCAGCCATAAATGCGTAATTGGAGCTTTAACTATGTCTCAGTCGTGCATATAGTGAAATCCACTGCGTAATGGTAAAAAAACATAACTATTAGCATAAATTATATTAATGGTCAGCATTGTACTGTTGATTTATTATCATAAACATTGATATATATAACGGGCAATTTTATTATGAACCATAGTTGACAGGTTATCACATTGAGCAATACAATAACATATATTTTGCTTTATTAGAGCCAGTATATTTTGTTCGTTCTTGTTTATTTTGGAATTACAGTTTACGTATATTCTAATTCATCTGTTTTACATGTATTTAATATCAGATAAGTCTACAATGCTGGTCATTAATATATTATATGCGAGTAATTATAATTATTTAAAAATATAGGTTGCTAATACGCAATTATGGTCGCCATTTTGAATCCAAATACATAAACAATCATACAGAAATTGTACATACTAATAAAATAGGAACCTTCCAGTGGCTATTCTAACTTGTAATAAAATAAGATTTTCGAAGAAAAATACAAATAGTATAATACTATAGCGGCTATTTTGAATTAATGCAAATAAAGTGTGCATGCAAATATAGAATGTTAAAATGATTGTTCGAAGAAATATTTCAGTACCTTTTAAACAGCATTGTTGCTTTTTAAATCACTAAAACATATTGATTAATTTTTGAGATATGCCGCTCTATCTATATATTATAATATCTATATAATATATATTAGCAGATCACGAAAGCGGTGTTATCTATAATCGTCTATATTAATTTTGTGTGTGCTAATTCTGTTTATTATTGAATAAGTTTTGAAATATTCAGGTGTTTATTTCAGTATAAATAAATAAAAATAAATGGGGTTGATGTATCTGCATTCTTCATTCCTGTCACAATATTGTCTACATCGTCAAGTTTTGATGAAATAATATGATTATGTTACTCAAAAATATCATGTACAGATGCAGATTCATTGGCCTGAGTGATTTTACATACTCAATATACTCAAAATGTTAAATATGATTTCCTGTCGTAGCTATAATAAAAGTGGACTACAGCTTTTGTTTATTTTATTTCTCTGTATCAATTCCAAATAATGGCAAATGATGGCATAGTAGTTTAGCATGGACTATATGTACGACCATGATGGCGCTGTTCATATTGGGATGCGATGACGTCATACGGCGATGGATGACGTCACAATGGGAATTCGAGCATAAATTAGCATAAATGAGCGACCATGGCCGTGAAGGGGTTAATTTTAATGAGGATGACGTCACAATAGGGTAATGTGAATAAATTTGCATACATAAAATAAATTTGAATACGAGGTCGTAACAAGGTCAACGTGAATACATTTGCATAAATTACCTTCAATGTTTTTAAATGGATTTTTTAATTATTTTTTAATTGGACGAGCATGGACGTCACGAAAGATTTTTCAGCATGTTCCGTAGAGGGCGCTCTCTCGCACACACACACACACACACACACACACACACACACACTAATAAATACACGTCATTTTGTAAACTAACGGAGTTTATTCCACAAAGAACGGTAAAACTAGTAAGATCAGTGACATGGAATACACATTTTTTGTTTGTTTTTTGTTTTTTTTGAGTAAATAAAAGAATGGATTAAAAACTGAGTAATATATAAGAATGATATTATTAATAATATTTAAGAATATAAAATGACATTTTAAAATGGTTGAAATACAGATTATACATTTTTAAACGCGGTATTCACACTGTGTGAATCAGAATCGATTATATAATAATAATTCTAATAATTGTAATAATAATAATAATAATAGTAATAATAATAATAATAACAATAATAACAATAATAAAGGGTATAGGGTTAGGGGTCAGTATAAAACTAACCAAGTGTTTTACATTTCACTGTAATATAGAGAATGATTGATAAAGTAAGATTGCCATGCTTATTATATATATGCTGTCGTATAATGTCAAAGAGTTGGAAATCCATTTAGCGAGTTGATAACATAATTTCACAGCAGACTAAACACATTTCGGGGTTTGATTTAAATCGTCGAAACAGTACACATGTATACCGTTTGGAGAATTTTCCAACCAAATCTGGGTGAATGCGTTGAAATGTGTCATAACACATGGCAATTTTACCACTATCAATTTCAGACAAAGCTTGGTCAATATAGAGACGAACTTCATTAATCTGCGAATCCATGAGATAAACACAAATGTTGGCGTTGCAAGCCATGCTCTATTGCAGCACACCCGAGGCAATTGGCTTGAATTATATGACGAAATTGTGTACAGATGACGATTTTCTTTGTAGCAAGTTTATCCAATGGTTTCCTGTTGCCTGTGAAAAAATACAAACAAAATATCAATATAAAATTGCACGCATATTAATGTTAATCACTGGTAAACGTTTAGCAGATTGAACTGTATTTACAGTAGTCTCAAAAGTATCAGTTTACAAACTCGCTCACGAATTAATTAAACAACCTGGAATTTGATAGTTGCGTCCACTCTGGGCTAATCTATATAACAGTAGGGGTGAAAGGGGGTCAGGAAAATGAGCAACGAATATTTGGATTTTTTGAAATGAAAACGAACATACCTGACAACATGGTTGATTTGTGGCATAATTTCATTCAATACTCTGAACTGATTCATCGTTAAGGACACACCACGCTTATTGGGATAACCGTTATAGTACTCACGTAGATGTACATACGTTTGTCCGCAAAAAGAATTTACGGTGACATACAAATTTTTGACGGGGCACAGCAGATATGTGTAAATGCTCTCACCTCTTGGAGCGATGGCAGGACGTGTTACATAGTCGTCACGAGCTGACGGACGCGTTGTACTACTGTCAGATGATTTAGGTGTAGGCAGCGCATTTGTGACTTTGCGCCGTTTAATACGGCGAGTTGAATTTTCAGAAACATCGGGCTGTGCTGTAGCTGTAGTTGTAGACATACTGGTAGTTTGATCATACGTAAGGTGTTGAGCGATGGGGTGTCAGACGTGTGTTGTCATGATCCAATTTTATCACACAAACAGACCATACAGACACACAGATGTTCCGTTCAAAAACAGTTCATGAATCCAGGGGGAAAATCAATGTCCAGTTCGCTAAGGTGTTGAGCGATGGATGTCAGACCTGTGTCGTCATGATCCAAT